CCAAAGTGCTGAATGGGATTCAAGGGGCAGCCACGAAATCTAGCTGTTTCTTCTTTGTTTTTCTGGTTTACGATAGTGTCTTCTGTAGCCTGGGTTGACTTCAGAGTCCCCATGTAAAGAAAGGTGACCTCAACCCCTGCTTCTACTGCGTCACCCCCTGTGTGCTGGGTGCCAGGTTCTCACCATGCCTGGTTTATTTGGTTTTGGGGATGGAACGCAGGACTTCATGTTTGCTAGGCAAGCACTGCCCCCAGCATGCCTTCAGCTCTGAGTGCCTAGAGCTGGTGAGTGGTCACACCCACCTGCCCAGGAACTTTCTGAGAGTCGTGGGTAGTGACTGGACCCCAGTGGAGCTATCTGTCTGCCTTTCCTGTCGCCAACACCACAACCACCACCATGACCTCCACCACCACCACGACCTCCACCACCACCACCACCACCACCACCACCACCACCACCACCACCACGACCTCCACCACCACCACCACGACCTCCACCACCACCACCACCACCACCAACCTGTCCTATGCGACATAGCCGTGAATGGCTGTGTGTGAACATTGTAAACCAAGGTGATGATGCCCAACCCAAGAACAGGTATTCGCGAACACCCCTGAAGGGTTTAAGGGGAAAGTTTCATGATTTCCTGTAAACCACTCAGTTTTCCTGGCCTCTTGGGGCACAGGGGTGGCTGGGAGTTAGAACAAACCTGGCTTGTCTTTTAGCTGGGATTGCAACATCCTTTCTGTGGAAGGCAGAAAGGGAGGAGGGAGGAGGGGAGGTACATTAGCTTGCCTCCAAAACTGGGGCCCAACTTTTGAAACTGGATCTCCAAGTGCTCCCCCTTACTTCTGCTTCTGCCTCCTCTGCCCAGGCACTTGCTTTCTTGGTTTTATTTCTATTTATCACGTATTTTAAAAATTGCATCTTAAAATATTTATGATTACATATATTCAGGCGTGTGTGCAGAGGTCAGAGGACACTTGTAGGTGTCCCCTTCTTCCTTCCAGTGTTATGTGTCCCTTGGGTAGAACTCAGGTGGCCAGGCTTGTGTCCACCCCACACCTCACCCCAGACTTTTTCCTGGTTCCATTGTTTTACTCCAGTCTGAAATACAAGGATTTGTGATTTACTGCTGATGGCTTCTTTCAGGCTACTAGATTTGGTTTGTTTTTTGTGGACCTGTTTACTCTGTCTTGTGGAGGTGAGTGACCTGTAGGCCTGAATACAAAGGATTCACCCTGTGGCTGGGGGCGCTGTGTGTGTGGGAGATCAGTTCTCAACTTGAGCATTCACAGTCATTCCTGCTTCTGATCTGGGGGGTGATGTGGGAAGGGTCCAATCTCTAGGATGTCGCTGCACAACAGCCATTTAGTGCTGGGAGGTAACCTGGAAGCCATGATAGGACCAGGGCCCACTGGGAGGGAGAAGGTTTGGGAGGAGAGAGAAGGGGAATTCTTGATCCCCATGCCTTTCCTCTGGGGAAATAACAACTTGTGTCAGAACATCAGGAGGGGGAGAGTGGGCCTCCTGAGCCAGTGTGGAGGGGAGCATGTGCAGGGATTCTCAGGGAGTGGGGGCCACAAACCCATCGTTCTGGCTTCAAGACTGCATAAGATCTGTGCAAAGTATTTGGCTAAAAAAATTGCACCTGCACATACACACACACACACACACATACACACACACACACACACACACACACACACACAAACATTGAACAGGTAGAGCCATGCCAGGTGAGGTGGCACATGCCTGCCACTCCAGCACTTAAACTGAGGAGGGAGCATTGCCATTTGAAACCAACCTGGGTGCATAGCAAGACCTGGAAAGGTGGCTCAGGGGATACAAATCTAGTGACTTTGCCATTTTGGCATCCTCTGTTAACTCCAGCAGAGAGACAGGGATTCCCTGGGTCCTGGGCAAGCTGGCTTGCTGGACCAGAGGGAGCCAGTGAGTTCTGGGTTCTGTGAGAGACCTTGGTAAGTAAACAGAAGTGCAGAGTGACAAGTGGAGACACTGGACATCAACTTAGGGCCTACACACGCACACACACGTGCACCCACACACTCTCTGGAAAGCACAATCAGGCATGGTGGTATGTGCCTGTCATTCTTCCTGAGAATCTGAGGCAGGAGGACTACCAGAAGTTCCGAGTCATCCTGGGCTACATAGTGTGTCAGATGTGGTGAAGCAGGCCTGACTTCTCAGTACCTGGGAGATCAGGAATTCAAGGATATCCTTGGCTACAGAGAGAGTATATGCCCAGCCTGGGCTACATGAGATGCCTCCTAAAAACTAAAATAATTCAAATAAAATATTTTTGCGCAAACATAGCTAAAAAGCTGAGAGAAATGCCTCTCACAGTGTTCCACATATCCAGGGAGGCAGAGGAAGGCAGATCTCTGTGAGCCAGCCTGGGCTACAGAGAGAGCCCCTGTCCCAAACTACAGAATGAGGGAGCTGCAGACTCTCCTGTCAGTGCTGAGCTTTGGTGTCAGGAGAGAATGAAAGAAAGGGGTGCATTTGATTTCTGGGTGGCAGACCCCTCAACTCTGACTGATGGGTGTGATTATCCCTGTGCTCCCCTCCCCCCTTTCTGCACAGGATTCTCTCCATGCTTGGAAGCCCATGTTCCTGGAATTCCTGTCCAGCGAGCACCCAGGCTGGGTGACCTCTCTCCCTACCCCGTAACTCATTAACTCTTGGGGACCTTGACCCCTGCACCATCTATAAGGCTGTGACAACAGCTTCTTCCCTGAGCTCCGTGTGGGGCTTGGGGTACCCCAGATGGCACAAAAAGATGGGGGCGGGGTCAGAGTCCAGACTTGGGGCCCCCCCTACATCCCTCCCCTGCAGGTCTGAGCCTGGTCTCCAGAGACAGTGAACCACACCTTGCAGACAGAACCCTCAGGTAGGTGCCTTATAACCTCTTATCCCCTCCCTCCTCTCTCCCCCCTTCCCTCCCTCCTCTCTCTCCCCTTCCCTCCCTCCACTCTCTCCCCTTCCCTCCCTCCACTCTCTCCCCTTCCCTCCCTCCACTCTCTCCCCTTCCCTCCCTCCCTTCTCTCTCCCCTTCCCTCCCTCCTCTCTCCCCCTTCCCTCCCTCCTCTCTCCCCCTTCCCTCCCTCCTCTCTCCCCCTTCCCTCCCTCCTCTCTCCCCTTCCCTCCCTCCTCTCTCTTCCCTCCACTCCCTCCTCTCTCCCCCTTCCCTCCCTCTTCTCTCTCCCCTTCCCTCCCTCCTCTCTCCCCTTCCCTTCCTCCTCTCCCTCCCCTCCCTCCTCTCTCTCCCCTTCCCTCCCCATCTCTCTCCCCTCCTCTTCCCTCCCTCCTCTCTCTCCCCTTCCCTCCCCATCTCTCTCCCCTCCTCTCCCTCCTCTTCCCTCCCTCCTCTCTCTCCCCTTCCCTCCCCCCTCTCTCTCCCTCCCCTCCCTCCTCTGTCTTCCCCTTTGGATTTGTTCTGTTTTGTTTGCAGTCTCACTGCACAACCAGGTTTTCTGAAGCTCACATCCTGCTGGCACCCGAGGCACTGCGAGGACAGGTGTGAACAGGTGTGAAAGCTATGTATAGCACTTCACCTGCCTGCCCTCCGCTCCAGCTTACCTTGTCCCGTTTATTATTTTCATTTTGTGTGCTTTGGTGTTTTGTCTGTGTATGTATCTGTGAGGGTGTTAGAACCCCTGGAACTGGAGTTAATCTTGAGCTACCATGTGGGTGCTGGGAACAAACCCAGGATGTCTGGAAGAGCAGCCAGTGCTCTTAACTACTGAGCCATCTCTCCTGCCCAGGATTTTTTGTTTGTTCTGTTTTGTACTTTGAGACAAGGTTTCTCTGTGTAGTCCTGTCTGTCCCAGAACTCACGCTGTTGACCAGGCCTCTGCCTCCCCAGTGCTGAGTGCTGGGTTTAAAGGCATGTGCCACCACGGTGGGCCAAGTTCCCTGTGAGGACGCTGGAACCCACTAGGGTGCCCTCATCGCTTCCCTTCAGATCTTCCTCTCCACTGTCAGGACACATGCACAAGTGGTGAGCACTAGGGTGTGCCCATCTTTGGAGTGTGATCACCGTGTCTACTTCCGCGTGTCCAGCTGCACAGTGCCCCGACCCTCCTCTGATTCTTTCATGGCTCCCGTGGGCCTGGCACAAAGCCTCACAGTCTGTTCTTAGGACTCTGCCTGCTGCTGCCCTGTCAGGCTTGGCTCTACTTCCCACCACCCCCTTCCACACCCTCCCCAGCCTGTAGTGCTTCAGGCTGGCTGGGCTATTTGTTCATCTGGTCTGCAGCTGGCCTCACTTCCTAACTGTGGAAGCTTCAACCAGGGCCCCTGGCCCCTCCTTATCCCCCCACCCCCACCATGGTGTCTCTGCACTCTGAAAGACATTCCTGATATCCTCAAGGGAGGGCAGAGACAGCCATCTTGAAGAACTAACCGTAAGGGGGTCTCCAAGAGGCTAGGACAAGGTTGGTGCTGGACCCTTAGGGCCATGACTATCCATTTCTACATGAACAGATCTCTTTAGCCCAGGCTAGCCTCAAACCCTAGTACTTTCCTGCCTCAGTTTCCTGGATGTTGGAGTTAGAGGCTTGAGCCGCCACGCTCTGCTCTTCTCTCTGTGGCCTAAGGTCACAGGCAGTCAGGGGCTGTGTCTGCTGTCCCTTGGGTTTTGAAACAGGGTGTCTTGAGGGCCCAGGCTGTGGCCAGGGCCAGGGATCTAGCCCTCCCCACTGCCCTAGTGGGATTATAAGCACACAGGCCATCTTCATGGAGGTTTGGGACCTGCAAGCACTTTGGGTTCCCTTAGCTCAGTCACATGCTCAGGCCTGTTTTCAGAGGACACTGGTTCGTCCGCACCTTCCAGAAGTCTGTGGCTGGGCCAGTCCCTGTGGGAACCTCATCCTGGGTCTGGTGACTTGAGGGTTGAGTTGGGAGGGGGAACTTGGTCACACGTTCCCCAACAGCCACCACAGGGCCCGGCACAGCATTGACAGACCATCCTCTCCTCACTATGAATTCTGTTTTATCTTTATTTGTCTACTGATCAGCCCAAAGTTTCATGAGGATCTTCAGAGGATGACAGGCAAGTGCTACCACCTGGACTGAGGATCCAGGATCTGAGATCATAGATGCAGCTTGTCTTAGGCACTCAAACCCCTCAGCATCAGGAAATTCAAGAAATGAAAAAAAAAAAAAAAAGACCGGTCCTTATTGTACTGAAAGGCTGAAGAGGACAGGGATGCAGTGTCGGGGAGTGGGGAGGGGCGTCATTTTTTGGAAGGCTCCTTGGGGACCCGCGCCTTGTGTATCTTGGCACGAATCCCTAGGTCTCCCTGCACACCAGGGGACAAAAGCAGGTGTGCAGGGTGCAGAAGGACTGAGGGTGGCGGCTGGATGAAAGGAAATCACAACAGCTCCCGGCCACTGGCTGTCTTGTTGACTTTGGACAGGCCTTCCCGAAATCCAGAATCCGTCATCCTGGGTGAGGCACACAGCAGAAGCAGGGTCCAGGAGCTGAAGGGACCATCCCAGTCCTCCATCCCCAACCAGACCTAGGCCTGTAGTCAGTATGTTAGTCTTAACCCTGCTGTCAAATCAGCCTGGCTCCAACCACCCCAGAGTGACCCGGTCCAGCTCAGCTGGCCTCTGAGGTCTCCTGGGCCTAGGTGACAGAGCCTACCACTCCAGAGTGACCCGGTCTGACCCAGCTGGCCTCTGAGGTCTCCTGGGCCTAGGTGACACTCCTACCAATCCAGAGTGACCCGGTCTGACCCAGCTGCCTCTGAGGTCTCCTGGGCCTAGGTGACACCCCTACCACTCCAGAGTGACCCGGTCCAGCCCAGCTGGCCTCTGAGGTCTCCTGGGCCTAAGTGACAGAGCCTACCACTCCAGAGTGACCCGGTCCGGCCCACCTGGCCTCTGAGGTCTCCTGGGCCTAGGTGACAGAGCCCATCACTTCCTACCAGAGCTCCAATCGGCCCAGAGTGACTCCAGACCTGCCAGCCCTCTATGTTACGAATCCTGTGGAACATCTGTCCTTCAGCTCCTCAGCACACCCCAGAGGCTATCTATCTCCAAGTGCCACTCAGACCAGTTTGAAGGCTACCCACACCCCACCTTTATTCCTTTTTGGCCCCACACACCCATGATCCTGTCTAGCCGCAGCCCCAGAAGCAGCCTAGGTCTAACCCCAGCCACCCCCCACCCCATAGCTTGCTCACACTTGCTCCATCTGTACATCTTCCTCATCCTCCTGGGGCAGCTGCAGGTAAGGGTTGTCCCCAGCTGGCTGGAACTTGTAGCCGGTGAGCACGAAGAAGGCCAGCGTGGAACTCTCCACCAAGAGCTAGGAGCCAGGGCATAGGATCAGTGGGGGACTCCCTGGCCACCCACCCTACTGGGGACCCTGCTCTGCTCCGCTCACCTGGTACAGCCACTGCCACTGGAAAGGCACAGCCACACGCAGCAGAATGGCGATGATGCGAGTGAAGTAGATATAGCAGATGACCTGGGGACACGTGGGGCATGGGGGTCAGGGGCAGAGAGTCGTGGGGAGAGTCAGGCCTGGGGAAGGGCAGGAATCCTACCATGACGTAGTAATGTCGGAACAGCTTCAGCTTGGCCAGGTTCACTGCCACTGTGGGAGGGCACAGAATGGGGGTGGGGGGGGTCACTCAAAGTGGTAGGAGGGGAGGGCAACAGAGGAGGGGACAGGGCTGGGGGGCAGTTCCAAGGCTACGGGATGAGATGTAGAAAGAACAACTGGCAAGGGGGAGAGAGGGGACAGAGGAGTGAGACGCAAACACAGTCATGAAGACACGGGCCCTGGCCCCTGGTGTCAGAGAGAACACAGGGCTGGAAAACCCTTGAGGAGGGGCCTCACCCTTCCCATCAGTGCCGGATGCGTCCTGCAGATGCCGGATGGACCTGGAGCAGGAGGAAGTATGTGGGAAGCGAACATGACCCCAACCCCGTAAACAAGAGTATTCTGTGGGGTAGTGGGGGGGGGGGGGGCTCGGCGGGGCTGAGGGGCAGGGCCGGCTCCTCACCACACGACTGGGAAGAGGATGGCACCGCAGCAGATGAGGTCCACCAGGAACAAGATCTCCTTCCAGAGTCCATAGTCACTGGCACCCTCCTCACGGGACTCGATGACAATGTATGCAACATTAGCCAGGACCTGTGGGGTTAGCAGGACACCACCTGATTTGATTCCCATCCTTTTGCTCCTGTACACTAAAAATGAACTGCCAAATCCTCCACCACCATGGACTTCCCTCCCTGTACCCCACCCCAGCATCCCTCCCCGTACCCCACCCCAGCATCCCTCTCTGTACCCCACCCCAGCATCCCTCCTCTATCTCACCCCAGCATCCCTCCCTGTTCCCCACCGCAGCATCCCTCCCGTACCCCACCCCAGCATCCCTCCTCTACCCCACCCCAGCATCCCTCCCCGCACCCCACCCCAGAATCCCTCCCCGTACCCCACCCCAGCATCCCTCCCTGCATCAATCCTTAGCATTCCTCTCTGAATCTCTCCCTATGTCTCCACTCTCTCCTGAGGAACCCACACACATACCTGCAGGGGGATCACAATTCCAAAAATCTTCTTCTCCTTGTCCGACAGCATATACTTCACAAAGGCCCAGCCTGAGCCGATCAAGGCAATAGTGATGAAAAGAAGGGCACCTTTCAACCTGGGGAGCCAGGGTGGGGGAGGTCTGGTGATGAGGTGGGGGCCCAGCCCCTTCCGCCTGCCTCCCCCACCTGTGGACAGAGCCGGGTGACTCACAGGTGTGTGATGTAGTGCATGACGGCGAGGCCTTCGATGGGGTGGCCTTGGCTGTTGATGAAATAGTAGTTGATCTAGAGGCAGGCAGAGGGACAGGCAGTCAGAGAGGAGGACCGGGTGAGGCAGCTCAGGGGCAGAGGTGTGGGATGGACGGGTGATTGGGGAGGGAAATGCAAACAGCCAGTCGCCATGGATCCCCTCCACCACGGGGGGGGGGGGAGTGTCACAGCTGGTGGGGGACACTCAGTGCTGGACCAGCGGATGGTCCTGGAGGGTAGGCCGTGAGAGCTGAGCTGAGCTGGACAGGGTGCGCAGGCGGACAGATGTCCCATCTCACCATCCCACCCTTGTGCCGCCAGGCCCCGGTTGCTCACGCTGTGGAAAAGCAGGGAGACACTCTTGGTGAACGCCAGGGCTGCCATGAGCCAGTGGATCTTAAAGACACTGTATCTGCCGGAGGGGGAATGGGGAGGGAGAGCACCTTTGAGATCAGGACATGAGGCCCTCAGAGAGGCAGCGGGCAGGGCGGGGAGGGCGGGAAGGCGCTTTACGTATTCTTGCAGAGCACGGACACCCAGAAGATGCCAGCAGCCAGGAAGCAGGCAGACATCGTCAGGTAGAGCTTGAAGAGGGGCATTTCTGCCGCTGACAGGAAGCCTTCCGGATTCTTCTCTCGGATCATCACCTGGAAGTGGGGAGGCAGGTGGCCTTGCCCCTGTGGCTCTAGCTCTGGGTTTCTGGAGAGTTCCAGTCTCCGGCTCATCCACTTGCCAGCTAGAGCCTCAGTTGGTCCCATCTCTCAAATGGGTGCATAGCCATACTCCAGAAGCAATAGAGGACCAACACCCAGGGAGGACCCAGTCTTTGTACAAAGTGACAAGCATTTGCACAGGGCCTGCCACATTTCCAGAAGATTGGGGAAGGCTGGAGATGTAAACCAGGGACACAGAGGTGTTACATGGTGTCAGTGAGGGGCCACCCAGGAGAAAAACGACTCATAGTATCCAATACAACTACCCATGTTGTGACTGGATCACTTAGGCCAGTGGTTCTCAGCCTTCTTGATGCTGCGACCCTTTTAATATAGCTCCTCATGTTGTGGTGACCCCCAACCAAAGAACTGTCTTGTTGCTACTTCATAACAGTAATTCTGTAATTCTGTTACTGTTCTGAACTGTACTATAAATATCTGATAAGCAGGATATTTGATACGTGGCCCCCAAAGGGTCGAGATTCAGAAGCTGAGCACCACTGATCTAGGACATACTGTGTGATTCTGTTTATGTGTGTGTGTGCATCAAGGACAACTTCAGGCAGCCATCCTTGGAACACACGTGAAGGCAGGAAGGAACAAACTCCTGCAACCTGCCCTCCAACCTCCACACGCACTGCACACACACTCACATCCAAAATACACGTAAACCGGGCCTACAGGTTGTTCATGACACAGCTAGGGAAGGTGCTTGCCTTGCAATCGTGAGGAGCTGAGTTCAGGTCCCCAGAACCCACATAAAAAATCCTAGCATGGCAGTGCAGACAGGAGGATCCCTGAGGTCTGTCAGAGACCCCGTCTCCAAAAACTAGGTGAGCTGGCGGTGGTGGCACACACCTTCACTTGCAGCACCGGGCGGAGGCAGGCGGACCTCTGTGAGTTCGAGGTCAGCCTGGTCTACATAGTGAGTTCTAGGCCAGCATCCGAGGAACGCCACTGGGGGCTGACTATGAGTTCCTGTGCACACCATACAAGTTCCCCTGCACAGATGAATGGACATATACACATACGTTCTGTACACACCTGAAATAGACACACCTTTGTTTTCCCTTAAATACTTCTGATCAGGACAGTGCATACCCTAGCTTGCATGTGTCACCAAAGCCCAACAGAGGACTTTAGGAAGTTCATCCAGGAGGTGGCAAGATGGCTCAGTGGATGAAGAAGCTTGCAGCCAAAGCTGATGACCTGAGTTTGATCCCTGGAGCCCACAGGTGGGAGAACTGACTCCTCTGACCTCCACACATGTGCTGTGCTGCATGCCCCCCCCCCCCCCCCCCGTAAGCACAGGATGGAGACAATGCCGGTCAGGTGGGCGGGGGCACCCTGTCCCTGGATACTCACGGTGAGGTCGAACGGATGCTCCTTGCCAGGAACGGAGTTGTGACAGTTGTGGAAGTTGAGGCTGTACTGGCCTTCCTCATCCCTGGAGCCAATCACCACGTGGAACTGGTCGCAGGGAGGGGGGTCTCAGGAGTGTCCTCCAGCAGAGGCTCAGGGCAGGTGGGGACATGCGGGTGAGGCAGGTACTCACGCTGAAGTTGTAGGAGTCGTTCAGGTGGCCCAGCCCCAACACCAGCTCCGTCTCCTTCCCACCGAGGTCCTGTGTGGGCGGATGCCTCTGTGGCTGGCCCTCTGTTGAGTGTCCATGTACCCCCGGGGTAGTTTTCTCTCCTGAAACATGGGGTGCTCCAGGCTTTACCTGACCTTCCTTGACTGCAGAAGTCTCTGTAGGGGATGGGTAAGAAACTGTCAAAAGACAGACAGGCAGAAAATTGGGGTGCATCCAGGGCAGCTAGCTCCACCCAGCCTCCCGGACTTACCACTGCTCCCCTTAGGGGTGTCTGCTGGCTCTGACTTCAGGAGGCTCGACTGGGCAGGGGCGTCCGAGAGGAGACCAGGGGAAATGAGCAACTTCCTCTGCTCTCCAAATTTTAGGACTTTGACCCTTGGGTGAGGGAGAATAGGGAAAGGAGATGGTGAAGTCTGTGGCCAGGTACACCACATATGTGGATGCCCTCCTGAAGGGGTTGGAGAATCACCAAATCTTAGCATCTGGCCACTACCCATCAAGGTAGCGGGCACATTCTTGGTTGTCTGTAATAGCAACTATCGGTCTACTGGGAAGGGCAGACAACATGGCCTGGTCTGCGGGCAAAAGGCCTGTGATCCAAGGTACTTGGCAGGCAGAGGCAGTTCAATGTCAGCCTGGATTACAGAGTGAGTTCAAGGCCCAAACTGGTAAAACGTATTGAGCCCCTGTCTTTTTTATTTTTTTACTTTCCCAAATTAATATATTTTCTATAATAGGAATGTGAAAAGCTCATTTTATTTTCTTCTTTTTTTTAAGTACAAAGAGGGTTGGAGTCATGGCTCAGGGGTGAAGTCTCCCCACAAGAATCCCTCAGTGAGGGGCTGGGGGCATGGTCAGGGTGGAGCCCCGCCTAGAATCCCCCAGTGAGGGGCTGGGGGCGTAGTCAGGGTGGAGCCCCGCTTAGAATCCCCCAGTGAGGGGCTGGGGGCGTGGTCACGGTGGAGCCCCGCCTAGAATCCCCCAGTGAGGGGCTGGGGGCGTGATCACGGTGGAGCCCCGCCTAGAATCCCCCACTGAGGGGGAGGCTTGGCGAGGTTACAGTACTAGCCTACAATCTGTAAGGCAGTAGGTTCAATATCCAGTAGCATGCGTGTGGGTGCACACATACATACACACACACACACACAAACACACGCTGCGCCATGTAGCAAAGAGACTAGCTTTCTCCCTAGGGCTGTGGATCTTGGGGGGGGGGGGGTCCTCTGTCTCCACTCACTGCAGGTCCTGGATATTAATGAGGAAAAGGACCAGGAAGTTGCTGCTGTTTCTCTCCAGAGGACATCCGTGCAAGTTCCGGCTCTGGGGAGTGGACAGAGAGGACCTGGGTTACAACTGCCTAGTTCAGCGTGTTATCCATTCATTCACCCAGGGCTGTACTCTTTACAGGAAGAAGACAGGCCCTCCACACCATATTAGTTCCCTCATCCCCTCTGATGCTCGCTACTCACCGAGTAGGAGTGAACGCTGCCAGATCGGACGCGACTCAGGCTGAACCCCACCTGATGGAAGGAGAAAACAGTGAGGGGCTTCCAAAACACCCTCTGCAGCAGAAGGCATCCAACCTCGTTCTGCTCTGCTTTGAGAGCGGAGCTCGCAGGTAGCCCTGGCTGGTCGGGCTGGTGCCCAGGCTGCTGTGAGACTTGCATCAATCCGACTGCCTCAGCGTGTACCGCCACACCTGGCTCCTCTCGCAGGTACTCAACACCCACCATGTGCCAGACGCTCAATGACCTGCTCCACCAGACTCCCAGTGCTCTCTGCAAGAGTTTTCACAGCCTGATTGGTTTACCCACCTACAACGCCAATGGTGCTGGACAGGGTAGGGCATGCACTGTCATGGGCTATGGAGACTGAGGCAGGAGGGGCTTGATTTTTAGGCGAACCTGGACGACATGAGACCCTGTCTCAAAGCAAACTGCCAAAACAAGGGTGCCTGGGCATAGTGGTGCACGCCTTTAATCCCAGCACTTGGCGGATCTCTGTGAGTTCGAGGCCATCCTGGTCTACAATAGTGAGTTCCAGGGCAGCCAGAGCTACTTGGTGAGACCCTGTCTCAACCACACCCCCCCCCCACCGAAAACAAGAAAGGAAAAATAAGGCTACCATGAGCCGGGCATCCATATTGCACCTCTTCTACCAAGGGAACACTGGTGAAGAGGGAGACGGGAGAGTGTAAGAGAGGTTGAGGAGGACCAGAGAGAAACAATGTCTCCTGGACACTGCTGCTGCTCAACTCCCAGTCAGCATTTCAGCATGTGGAGAAGAGGGGTGCTTGAACCCTGACATCTAGCTGATGGGCGCTGGGGGAGGGACAGCCAGTTTTCTTGAAGGTTATGGCCCTAGATAAAAATAAAAAAGGTCTGGGTGGGGGGCTGGAGAGATGGCTCAGTGGTTAAGAGCATCGCCTGCTCTTCCAAAGGTCCTGAGTTCAATTCCCAGCAACCACATGGTGGCTCACAACCATCCGTAATGAGGTCTGGTGCCCTCTTCTGGCCTGGAGACATACACGCAAACAGAATATTGTATACATAATAAATAAATATTAAAAAAAAAAGGTCTGGGTGATCTCTGAGCCTGTGGCTAGCTTGGCTACACAGTGAGACTACATCTTTAAAAACCAAAAGACATGGAATTTGGAGGAGTCCTGGAGAGGAGTAGGGGGGTATGGTCAAAATACATTATGAATATATGTATAAAGTGTTGTGCTACAAAGGGGCTGAGGTGGGGTGGGAGTGGCTCAGTAGTAGAGCACCTGTGGAAATCTCCCAGTGTGGGGCTGGGTAACTTGATCCTCCTGCCTCAGCCAGCAGGGACACCAAGGAGACATTGTATTCATACCCAAGTGACAGGTGGAGAAACTGAGGCTCAAGAAGGCTATGGGACTTGCCATAGATCCCATGGGTGAGGGACCGGGCGAGGGCAGGATTCCAGAACTTGTGCACTGAACCCTCGCGTAAACCTTCTCACCTTTGATGACTTCTTTTCTGCCTCCTGGAGGCCCAGGCGAAGCAGGCTCAGTTCCACTTCTAGAGACCCGTTGGCGTAGAATCCGAAGCTGTTCAGTTGGATGTCAGCTCTCTTCTCCCCCTGCAGGAAACCAGAGAGGCCGTGGCGGCAAGGGCATTTTCTCCACCAGTTCCCAAGAGCCTCTGGACATCTTTTATTCAGGGCACAAGCACGTGAGAAAGGCTTTCCAGATGCAGGGTAGTGGCGGCAGTGGTGGTATTTCTTTGCTTCAGTCCCTCCCAGGCAGCTACAGGGTGTGTTTAAGTGTCCAGGTGAAACCCTGACACCCCCGTGAAAGGCCCCATGTTAATGTGCACTGCCCCGAGAGTGAGGTACACATGCTGGTGTGATCAGTTTCGACTTCACAGAAAACTTTTCGATTCTATCTGGGCTAAATTTTCAAAGTAGTTTCCCCAACCGCCTATCGAAGTTAACTCCAGGAAGATGCTACCAGGTACCCCCTCTTCCCAGCAGGTCCTATGGTTGTTACCTAGGGTCCCCCGGAATTTAAAGGGCCAGGAGTCAGGGGTCCCGGGAGATGGAGTCCCGCCCCCTAAACCAGGCTAATCTACAGCGAGCACCGGGTGGGGGTGCCCGGGACGAGACCACTCACGGCCTGCAGTGGGGGGGTGCGAAAGTTCTATTTAGAGGAGCTAGTGGGGAGTAGGGCGAGGCCAAGCCTACGAGGCTCACTGTGAGCGCCAGCCGGTGGATGCGACCTGAGCAGCCGCTCAGCATCAGCACTAGCAACGACAAGCGTCCCCATCCGTACTGCGCGGGGCTCCCACCGTCGAGCCCCCTCCTCTCGCTCACTGCCATCTCCGGGGCTACGACTGCCCCACGACACCGCCTCTGACGCCTGATAAGGCCCGCCTACTTTTCAGCCAATCGTTGCACGATGTGGCCGAGTCACCCAATTACCAACTGAAGCTTTTTTGATGAACAGAAGGCCTCCCAAATGGGCGTATTTAGTCCTTTCAGCCCCTATTTCATGCTCTCCAATCCCTAGACAAATCGTTCCGGATGCAATTTGATGAACAGGACGACTCACCAATGATCTAGGAACTCATATCCGTTCCTTAAAGCGGAATTCCTTCTTCAACTCTTAACGGCCCAAGACTACATTACCCAGAACCCAGGGAAAGCTGATTCAGGCACGCAAAACTACATTTCCCAGTATGCCAAGGGACGCACTTTCGTCCTCCCCATCCTCCACCCCACCCCCACCTCCACCCCCAACCAAAACGTGGCACCCGGCCAGAAGTAGAGCTTTTGGTAAACATAAGCATCTGTTGAGGCTTGCCCTGTTCCAACTTTCCTGGGCCACTGAGAAGCCTAAAATTCTTGACCCTATACTGACCTCTGATCTCAGGCCGAGTGCCATTGTAGGTCCCACCTGCAAGACTCCGCCCCAGGCTTAACTCCCTTGCAGCAGCTGAGCCCTAACTTCAAACTGAAACCCTGACCGTTCTCCATTCCGATCCTAGGCACCTCATCCCATTTTACACACCGGGTCCTCATCTTCTACTGAGACCCCCAGATCTGGACTCCAGTTGTAAAGTCTTCAACTCTTAATTAAATTGCTGACTCTGGCGCTAAACTTCCCTTCCTAGTTTGATACCTTATTCCCGTCGGGCCTCTGACTTCTCTTCCTCCCTCCTCCCCCATGCCCCCGCCTGGTTTTGCATCTGGGAATTTAGCCCTCAAGCAGCCAGCAGGTGGGGCTAAGGTTCACCAGAGCCTCATTTCCAGCCGGGCTCCAGGGCATTTTTTTCTCAGAAGTCCGTCCGGACTGCCCTTCTCTTCCAGCTGAAGCACTAGGGGATGTTTTGAGATTTCTTCAGCAGCGGAGAAAGCACCTATGACCCGGGAGAGTGAGGGTGGGAGCCACCAGGGCCTCTTCCCTTTCATCTGGGAGCCTCAAGGGGATTTACAAGGTGTGAAAGGACTTTTATGGTTGGGAGGACCCGAACTTCTGAGCCTCAGGGCCCTAGAGTCTAAACTGGCGGGAGGGGGCACTCCATGGGAATCCCGTGCTCAGTACTGATTGGGCCTCAGTGAATGAGGCTGGGAAATGGGCAGTCATGTGCAAGCATGAGCTGGTGTGTGTGTGTGTGTGTGTGTGTGTAATCCAGAACTGGAGCTCCAAGGGCAACCTGTCCTCAGTTTCTTAGAGGAGGCTCTGGCGGGGAGGAAGGGAAGTCAGGTTGCGGTGGGGGTGTGCGCTAATGGACCTGGCCTTGGCTGGAGGTGCGTCCTGGGCTGGATCGAAATCATCCCATCTGCTCTGTGGCCGGAGAGAACCAGACCATTAGTGGGACGAAATGGAGATTTCTGGAGCCTAGTTGGTCCCGCAAAAGCCTAGTGACTGACCGCAGGTTTTCCCTGCCATGGAGTCAGAGAGAAGTGGGAAAGACTCCTTGGGTTTGGGGTTTTGATATTTTGATCCTTTATAAGAAATGCGAAGTTAAACGGAAAGGATGAATAGTTTGGGATGGCAGAGGAGAGTAAATGGGGGTACAGGTTGGAAAATAAATCGAGGCGTCCTTTAAGGAGGCCAAAGGCCCTTTAAGGGAGGGCGCGGCATCCTTTGAGCTACTCCTCATTGGGCTCCGCCCTTAGGAAAGCTCCGCTGGGGGCTTCGCGGAGCGGGGGCGTGGCAAAACGCGAAGGGGCGTGGCAGTCCAGTTTAGTGGGCGTGGCATGGTGGCGGGGCGGGGCGGGGTTGGGCACATCGCCCTGGGGCTGAGTCTCCGGTGGAGGGTGGCGGGGACCCGGGCAGGAGGCGGTGGCGTTCTCGGCGGCAGGACCAACATGGATTGGGGCACCGAGTTGTGGGTGAGTCCTTTACCCCCAGCTCCCACGGTTCTCCTTTGCTGGGGTCCTGGCCTCTCCGCTCTTTGTCCCCGATGTACCTTTGCCGGGACTCCGCGGTTTCCCCTGCAGCTGATTCCGTGGGTCCCCGCCCTCTGCCCTCAGCACTCTCTTTCAAAAGTTCCTTAGGGACTTTCTAGATGCCCAGAGGGCCCTAGGGATACTTTGCCTAGGGCCGGTATAAGGAAACTGAGGCACAGAGTTGAGAATGAGGCCATCACAAGAAGTCCCTGGACCAGGCCAGGAAGGGGGGGACAGCTGGGCGAGGTCACCTATTTTGAGCGCTCTGGCCTGGCTTGGAGGCTAATCTTACGGCCCCTGGGTCCCTGCCCGTCTCTCGCCTCTCCAGCTAGGAGGGGGAGGGTATCCTTTGGTCACCTTCTCTCCCACGTGGGGCCTCACCAGGTTGATTCCCCACCACCACCACCCCCCACCGCGCTTGCAATTGCCCTTAAGGGCTTGGGTCGCTGAGGGGGAGGGGAAGGGGGGCTGCAGAACTTGGCCCCGGGCGCTGGGCGGAGCCACCCCTTACCCGCCACTTAACCTCACCCAGGAAGCCCTCGAAGTTTCCCTGAATCTTCGGACTATTGACCCCTCCTCTTTCTGGAGGCGGTGGAGTCTTCGGGTGTACTGGGGGTGAGCCACTGAAGTGGAGGCATCACAGAAGCAGGGGAAACTGAGTCAGTCACTCATAGGAGGATCCCGGGGGATCATGGAGAATGGGGAAATCTGGCCATTGAGGTTCCCCGCTTCCACGCACTTTTAGTTACACAAACCCTTCCCCTCTGTGCCAAGCCCGCTTAATTTTCCGGAATTTGAGGAGATTAGGGGATTTGGGGGAGCTGGAGTGCCTTAGCCTCCTCCCAACACCCTTGCTGGCCACTCCGACTCTGTGAGACCCCGCCGTTTGGTCTGGGGCCCTGGCCCTGTTGTCCAGGCCCTTCCCGGGAGGAGGAGATGGGGGTTCCCGCCAGCTTCCTGCCTCCCCCTGCGCCACGCCGGGGCGGTGCCTGGGGAAGCCAGCCAGTCCTTGCTGGAAAGGCTGAGCCACGAGGTTGTGTCCTGTCCCGCCTCCGTGCTTCGGGTCGCTGGGTCTTAGGTAGCCCCCCCCCACCAGGTGACACTGACCCTCTCCAATCCCTGCAATCAGGATCAGTTTGAGGTGTTGGAACGCCACACGCAGTGGGGGCTGGATCTGTTGGACAAATACGTGAAGTTCGTGAAAGAACGCGCCGAGGTGGAGCAGGCTTATGCCAAGCAACTCCGGTGAGCACGAGGGTTGGTGCTCTCCACTCTGGGACTCTGCAGGGAGCCAGCGGGAGTGCCAGGTTCTTAGTCTCCCTGCCTCTGTGCCCACCTTTAGGAGCCTGGTGAAAAAGTACCTTCCCAAGAGACCTACAAAAGATGACCCCGAAGTCAAGTAAGAATGGGAAAGACTCCCTGGGAGGTAGGGTCGGGGGGCGGGGCGAGGGTCTCTCTCCTTCCCAGAGGCCGTCTATGGTGCACCTCCAGTCCTATCGCCTGTTAAAGTTCTGGGTGACCCGAGGTGGAATTTACCCCCTTCCAGCAGAGCGCCCTTTTTGTTTTGTAAATTCTCAGCTTAGCTGAGTTCTTTGGGGTAAGTGGATTTTTACTTACTCTTTTTCTAGTTTTGAGGGCAAGATGCACCCATATACGCCATAGGACACTTGTGGGAGTCAGAGGACAGCTTGCTGGCTCTTTCCTCACCATGTGGGTTCCAGGGATCACACTCAGGTCATCATATTTAGCCGCAAGCACCTTTTACCTGTTAAGCCATCTAGTTGACCCTAGCTTTATCTTTGCCTCCTTGTTTTGGTTCTTCAGTTACTCCCTCCATAGCCAGGACTCATCTCTAGTGAGGCAGTCCTTGAGCTTGGGCTCCCAGGAGCTGACCTGACCAGCAGGCATCACTAAGCCAGGCTTGGGCCAGTCACTTTTATTGCCTGTTTTCTAATCTGCAAAGGCTCTGGTGGCTGTGATGCCTACTCCATCTGGTATGTGAGAAGATGAACTGAATTTATGTGTCTAAAAGTAATGGCCAAAGCTGGGTATGTCGGTGCATAGCTGTGATTCTAGCACCCTTGGGTTCTGGACTAGCTCACCTATACTGGTAGCCAGTCTGTAGGTATTTCCAGGAACTTTTAACTGCATTCCGAAACCTTCCCTTTAAAATCTAAACGGTGACCTGGGCATGTGGCAAATGCTTGTTATCCCAGCACTCTGGAGGCCAAGGCCAGGAGATTGAAAGTTCTAGGACAGTTTGGGCTACATAAGTGAGACTATATTTTTAGTAAATACGTAAATAAAAATTTTAATCCAAAAATTAAGATAGTTGTTTGTGATAGCTGGTTAGATTGGTGACGTGATGTGAATGATACTCCGCTCAGTGATGAGGGTTTTCAAGGCTTGGAAAGTGTGTGTGTGCGGTCTCAAGTAGCCCGACCTGGCCTCAAACTTGCTATCTAGCTCAGGACTGATCTCCCTGCCTCAGACTCCAGAGTGCTTGGGTGGCGGATGTGAGCCATCGTACCTGTTATGCTGGTGGTGGAGCTAGGGCCTCACGCATGCTAGCGGGGCTCTCTACCCACTCGGTGCCTCCAGCTCCAGCCTCTGAGGACTGAAAATGCACTAACAAAACAAAATTGTTCCTTTCTGGAACATTGGCAGACTTTTTTTGGTCATTGTGTTTACATCGTATGAGGTTCCCTGAGTCATCTAGGGAGGGTCTGTGCAAACCCTGCTGTTCATTGAAGACCTTCAGGATCCTTTGCTTTGGTACCCTCTAGGAACCCTAGAAATGGCTGCCATGGCTACTGAAGGATTACTGTATTCATACCTCTCACTGTAAAATCTGATGAGGGGTGCTAGGCATGGTGGCTCAGCTCCGTGATTTCCGCAGTCAGGAGGCTGAGGCAGGAAGAGCAAGGGTTCTGGACTAGCCTGGAATATATAGCCA